GACAAATATTTTCGATCACAAGTGTTTTCTAGCGTAATATGCATGGCACAATCCACGCTATTATTATTGTATTTTCAAAGCGACACAGATGTTGAGTAATAAAAATAATTTTTATTTATTTATTAAAAAAGTAAGTTATGTTTCTGGAACAAGTGGGTTTGAATAAATCGAAATTTGTACAGAGTAAAAAATAATATTATTTATAGTAATTATTTCGAGAATTTTTTTAATCCTAATTTTTAATTTTTTTTAAATGCTTATTGTCAAAATATTTGCTTTCGCAGCTCTTAAATATAAAAAAAGCAATAACAAAACCAACTCCGTCTTCACTGAAACTAAATATATATACAAGGTGCTTTCCAAAGTAAAGAGGACTTAAAAAAAAAAAAAAAGAATAAATGGTTTTTTCGGCAAAATCAATTGATTTTATTCAAAATAGTCTCCTTCTGCTTCAATACAGCTTTCTGCACGGTCCAAAAGCATGTCGAACGAGTGTTTTAGCTCGTTGGCCGGTATGACCGCCAGTATGCCGGTGCAAGCCTTTTGAATGACCTCTACGTCTGCAGTACGCTTTCCTTTCATGGGCAAATACATTTTTCTGAAAAGGAAGAAGTCGCACGGTGCCATGTCAGGTGAATACGGGGAGTGGTCAATGGTTAAAATGTGATTTTTAGTCAAATAATCGGTCACAAGCGTGGATCGATGAGAGCTATTTTTTGTCGTCTGTCAATTTGTGCGGAACAAATCGTGCACCTTTCGTAATCCCAAATATTCGTTCAAAATGCGATAAATCGATTTTTTTGTAGATGTTYATTTCCATTTCCATGAATTTCAATGATGATTTCGGCTGATTTTTGATGAATTTATGCACAGTTTCACGACCACTTTGAAAACGTTGAAACCACTCGTGTACTCTGCTATGGCAATCATGGCCATAAACTTGCTTCATCAATTGAAACGTTTCGGTAAAAGATTTACCAATTTTAGTACAAAATTTAATGTTGGCTCTTTGTTCGAAGCTCATTTTCGCACCGATAACACAAGCATACTGACACTTAAAACGCAATAACCACACTTCCAATCAATGAAATGTTATGAAATTTTCACTAGACAATCGGATAAATATGGAAGATTCTAACGYACTAGTCGACATGGCGACCTGGCGCTACCAGGGAGAGGTAGATTCAAAAAGTCCTGTTTACTTTGAAATGCATCTTGTAATACCCAAGAACAAAAACAAGAATATGAAAAAACCGTCTATGCTAAATTTCGTGAAGATATCTTGTTAAATAAAAAAGTTTTCCATGCAAGGACTTGATTTTGATCGATATATGCWATAGTGGTCCGATATCGACGTTTCCGAAAAATGTGCAGCTTCTTGGGAAGAAAATCCCACCACGCTTTAGATTTATGTATGTATATAGGTTATGGAGTCTCCGACGTTTCTTTCGGACAAACTTCGTTCAGGGTATAAAAATATTAATTTATTTAAAGAAAAATAACCATATCTGTATTTCCTCGCAACAAAATACCTTGGTATTTTCATTTATTAACACAACAGTTGTAATTTCGTGTTTCTCCACATTTTTGTTTGCTTTTATCGTATTTTTATCAGCAAAAGCACAAACAAATGTTACACTGTCTGGCTTACATAKATGGAATTATAGTATTTGAGCTTTAGCCTGCATACTCGACTTAATTTAAATAAATTTAAGTTAAATAAATAAAATTTGTGTTTGTATTACTTCTCGCTTTTCTGCTGTTACATGCATACATATTTACTTGCTGTACTTTAATGCATCTTTGCGCAAACAGTAAAATCAGTTATATTTACTTATTTGCATTATTTATTTGTTTTTCTTTGACCATTTACATATGCTTATATGTGCAAGTATTTTCATTTTCATGACTTTGCGCACCCACTATTCAATTTCTGTGCATTATCTTACTTTTGTTTGTTAAAAAATGTAAATAACTCTCTTTCATTTCTTATCGCAATTGACTAAAKATTGTAATTTCCTTTAATTTTAGCTAATCAGTCATTCTGTGATAAGATGTGAATGCTAGAAATATTTGGAGAAAATTCTAATAAAAATATGTACTTGTCTTTTAATAAATATTTTATATGCATTTAAATTTACATACGTACATATGTGTGTACACATCAAACCTAAAGTGGTTTTAGAGCTCTTTTTGACAGTTGAGATTGCATATTGCGTTACTTCAACCAATATAACTGCGTATGAATTTGTTAACTCGGATAATATCGTATTTTTGAGTAAAAAATTTCTAAATCGTTTTAAAACAAAGTGGAAAAAAACTAGGTATAAAGAACACAAGTAATACAAGAAAAAAAAAAAAAACGAAAAACGAAAAAAATATCTCTATCTTGAATTTGTTATGTCCGTTTGTATGACAGTTACATGCTAAAGTGGTCCGATCTGAACAATGCCTAATGGTTCGATACTGTTTGCAACAGCTTCTTGGGGGAAAAGAGCGAAGGCAAAATCTATATCTTAAGAACTGAGGGACTTGTTCT